TATCTCTAAAAATCATTAAACTAAAAAAAAAAAAGAGAGAGAGAGAGAGAGAAAACTGATGACTAAAATGACTGAACATAGTGGTCTTCTTATTGTTAACCACAGTTTTGTTCACATATTAAATTTCCACTGGTTTTAAACTTTATTAAAATAAAAAACAAAATTTAGTTGCACAAATACTGACCACTATGTTACATTTTAGAGAATCATGTTCAAAGGTAATAGCCTCCAAAGAGGGAGTGAGGGTGCCAGGAGCACATTTTAAAGAAAAAAGTTCAAGAGAGACTGTGGCAACCATGCCAGAGTCCTGTTATCAGTATGCCAAGGCTGCTCTGATCATGGGAACCCTAATTAGAATGGCCAAGGATTAAGCAGGTGCAAGGCCACAGCGGTCTCCCAGTACGCTGTGCCCTTCTGTAACCCAAATGACTGATATCACTGTTGGAAACTAGCCATCTTTGTCTCTGGAGTAATATTCAGATTACTGACTAGCTAGGCTGGAGTGTGAAGAATTGTGCTGGAGAGATGGAGCTGGGAAAGAAGCTCGGAGGTAGTTACTATGTGAGGCTACAGAGACCAGTGTGCTGGGAGGGAAGACAGCAGAAGCTGCTGAGCCAGAGGGGCTAGAGAAGCTGCTGAGGCAGAGAGCTTAGGCACCACTATGATGTGAGGTGCTGAGTCTAGGGCAGTGATGGCGAACCTATGACACGTGTGTCAGGGGTGACACGCGAACTCATTTTGGGTGACACACATCGACAGAGACAAAAAATTGCACAATTCAAATATTTGTCTCTCGCAACGGCCAGAGTTGGGCATCACTCAAGTAATATTATTACGTTACTCATGATCAATAATGCAATTCTAAAACCGGATGCAAATATGTACATCGGTGTTGCATAGCAAAGACACATAATGAAAACATCCAAGATACATTGTTCCAATATTGACATTAATATAAAACAGTTTAGAATTGCACTATAAACAGATTAATCTTTACTCATGACATTTTATTTTTACTTGAGTGACAAAATGCCCAGTTCTGGAAACGGCCTCGTTATTGCCAATATGTGCCTCGGGTAAGCTTCCCGTGCGTTGGGGTACATTCGGTAAACGGACGCACTTGATCGCCATGTTCGTTAGGAGACAGGAGTGAGAGGGTTAGAAGAAAAAGATATACAGTGCAACAGTGCTGAACGAGACATTCTGCGTGTTGGATAACTGATTACAGTACCATATATTTGTTGGTTATACATACTATCTTTGAATTGTTTTGCACCAGGAGTCAGTGCAGAAACACTGCAAAAAGTTAATAGGTAAGAACCCTATCAACCTTTTATAAAAAAAGCCGTGATTTCTATTTATTTATTTTTGCAGCCTTGTGATGGAGAATTCCCCGCAGTGGAGTTTGAGTTTAATATGCTCAAACTCGTCGTAAGCTGGGAAATGCAGAAGAAAGCAAGGAGATACCCACTTCACCCCTATGGGATTGGCAAGGATTTGCAAGTAGGATCAGGTCAAGGGTCAGAGGGCAAGTCCTTACAGAGAACTGGAGAAGCTGTCCATCTCTCAATACTGTGTAGTGGTTAGGAAGTGGGACCTGGCGAAATACACAGAATGTAAACTACACAAAGTGCTTACTTTTTAAAAAGGAAACAATGAGTAAAATAGTACAAGTAATACATTTGTCATAATAATTGCTAACACTTGTTGGGTACTTAGCCAGCCAGTCGCAAGCAGTTAATACCTCTTATCACCTTGCAATGCCCACAATCACCTATGATGTCGTACTAATATTAACCCCATTTAATGAGCAGAAGCACGGAGAAAGTACTTGCTCCCGGTCACATAGTTAAAAAATAGTGCCCACATATAAAGCAACGACACGTTTTGCAAAGACACAGATCCATTCAGGGATGCGGATCAAAAGATTTCAAGAGCTGTCTTTTGGGAACCTCCGAGGGTAGGAAGCCGGGATCAAGAAAGAACCTAGAATAGGGCAGGGGGAAATAGGGACAGTGGGCCTTCGAGACCACGGACTCAGGCCATTGGGATGTGACAGCAGGATTCACTTAGCCCTCTGCCCCAGCACCAAACAGAGTGGAAACAACACATAAAGTCTTGTGGAATCTCCAAGCTGATCCGGCAGGAGGGAGACACTGTCTATGCTTGAGGCCGCTGAGGTCTGAGGAGGCTGAGAAACGTAGCAGAGGAACTGGAGATTGCCGGAGCTGAGAAGGAGCAAGGCCGGAGGCTGTAGCTCAGAGAGAAACACACGTGGAGATCCTGGCGGGACCCAGAGGCGTCCTCACTCGGCCAGTCCCAGCAACGCGGTGTCCAGAAGCCCCTCAGCAGCGGCACTCACCTGCTCCGCCTGTCCCAGCAGATCATAGTCACCAGGCCCGATGCCAAGGCCCCCAATCTCCTAATTTCCCACGATCACATTCCACACAACCAGAGGGGGGCGAGGGAAACCATGAAACAGAGCAGGAAGGAAAGGGTGGGGATGGAACCGCCTCCAGTAACTTTTCTTTCACTTTCGTCCCTCATCAGAGACCCACTTCCTGTCTCTAGTCAGCAGTCAGAATTCACTAGCACGTTAAGCAGGGCTTTTAAAAAGTCCCCAGAGAACTGTGCAAACATGTCCCTGCGGCAGAAGGGCAGAAAA